AAATAAATAAATAAATAAATAAATAAATAAATAAATAAATAAATAAATAAATAAATAAATACCAAACGGTAAAATCTTAATGGCATTTTTCTTTTTTTACACAGCAGAGCTGTGGACAGTCTGCCCATAATCACAGAGTGAGGGACACACACACACCTGAGCAGAACTGAACAGACCTGAACCAGAGTAGAACCGGGCTCATGGAGAAAGGGCTGTAACTGGAGCCATAACAGAAGTAGGGAAAAGTTTAAATTCATGCTCTTATTTTGAAGTGTAGACGGTTTTCTGTTCTCCGTATTTTCGCTTCCTGTCACCAATCCGTCCTGTACCCAGAATGCATTCATTGGAATATACTCTGGTGAACTCTGAGTCAATTTTGCATTTTAGAATTAGTTTCTGCTCAGACATGGGTACCCAAAAATTCTCCCAAAGTGGGCCAAAATTAAAATCTATCTAAAGCTAAATGCAGTAATATAATACATGAAATGCAAATATTTTTCAGTAAAATCCTGTATTTTTAACAATTAAGCTTGTAGCCAGAGTGGTGGCACACTTTTGTTTTAGTCTGCGCTCTTGGAGAAAGTCTGCCCAAGCAGCAAAGACTCATGGAACGTTTCATAAATTGGTAAAATATGAGTTTTGTGGCCTTATAAAGTGTGCAAATCTACATGTGTGGTGAAATCTAATTTAAATATCGCTCATTGTTACTGTATTTCATGTTTCATGTTTAATCTTAATATATGAAAGATAAAGTTAGCACCTTGAGTGAAAACTATATCTGCACTACACTTACAGTATAGTCATTGAGCCAATGGATGAAATGACTAAGTGGAAATACTGTGTTTCTACATAGGATGACAGGTTACTAGTAACTATGGCAGTGCTAAGATTTATTAAATGTAAACACTTTATAACTTGTTCACCTAAATAACTTTTAAATAATTAGCACAACTAAATTTTGGATTAGTGCTGCCCACCACTGAATCCTGGTGGTTATTTAGCAGGACAGTAATGTGTTGTTTTTAATCTTACTTGCTGTATAGTGCCCTGGATTATTGACAGAATATTTATTTGAATCCGATCATTTCTGTGAGAAGTTTGACCCCACCCCACGCCTCCCCTCAGATCGTGTGTGTTCCTCATGACTGGCGTGTGACTCTGCTCATCATTGTTGCAGCGAATGCAGTGGTGTCTTTCCTGCTGGAGGTACAGCTTCCTCACCTCACACCTGCTGTGGCTCAGCCAGCCTGTAATCTGCTCTCATTTCCCTGCTCTCACCAAATCAGCTGCTTTATAAACAGAACAAATCAGTCTCTTTTCCTCTTGGTGTTAAATTTTGTGTGATTGTGGGGCTGAAAGTGGTGATCAGCTGGTGAAATCTCTCGTAGATTGTGATCCTTGACATCATCCTGTGGAGGCTTGTATTCAGAGACAATCAAGGGGCGAAAAGCCCCGGAGAGTCCTCCTTTGCCCCCACACCACAGGTTGGAAAACTCTTCTACCTTCTGTTTAATCTGATCCCTCTGTGTGACACATCCTTTAAATCTGTCTGGTTTTTTCCCCTCTTTATTCTGACCTCATTTTAAACATCAATATGCTATAGCACGTTGCTGAACAAAATCTTGTCTTTGTAAAGCTTGAAGAATCATTGTCACCAAAGCAAACAGCTGACCCTGAACTTAGCCTAGAATGTTGATGTGGCTGCCTGTTAGCAAAAAATCTTATGAACCAGTCCTTCCTTCCTAACACTTCCTGTGCACGTTTAGCTCACTTCTCCTGACATGTTTCATTATTTAATTTGTGTAGTGATGTCTTTGATTCTTCAAGCATTACAAAAACATTTAGTTGGGTTAATGTAGTTTTCCTTTAATATCCCTTTATTTCTCTTTCATTTCCAATGTTAACTGTGTTTTATTAACTCATAGTTTGCTGTGAAGTGAGATTTAAAGTATAAGTTTGTAGTGATCGTTCTGCAGACAAACTGAATTCTGTTTGCTTCTCCTGAAATTTACTGAAGAAGCTGAAAATGAGTTTGGAAAAATAAAATACGAAGACCACTAGTTAAAGGTTAAAAAAATTTAAATGAGTTAAAATTGAAAAAATTTTAAAAGTAACAAAAGTCTAGTTAAAAAACGAAGGGGAGCTAAGAGCTGAAGTAGAACAAGAATACCTGAAATGTACAAAAGGCTATCTAAAATTAGAGGAATTAAAGTAGAAAACCAGTGGTTTGGATTTAAGAGATGAATGAACCAATTGGCAGCTGAACTTTGGTCAGTTGAATAGCCCTGCTATAGGTCATAGCACCCAGCTCCTAAATGAGCTGCACTTTTTATTGTATGAATGGTAAAATAACACAAAGTCTGCAGATGTTGTCAGATAACAAAGAAACATTGCAGAGAAATAAAAACATAAACAATAGTACGAATGCTGAGTCAGCATTTACACAGAAGTAGCTGAATAATGACTTGGATCTTTTTTGGTAGTCATGTTTGCTGTGTTCACAGGAGGCCAACGAGCGCTGGGGGGCGACATTCCTCTCTCACTTATTCTGTCAGAGAAATAAGTCCCCGAGGGTCCTCTACAGCCAGCTCGCTCTGGAGCTGCAGGATGCCACCGACTGGCCCCCCAAACCCTCCACCGTCACCTTGGCCACTAATCCAGTGTTGTGTGTCTCTGCCCCCCTCTGATGAACCAAACAGGCCTTAAACCAGCCTGCATTCAACAATGAGCTGGATTCTTTTGGACTCTGATCAGACCTCACTCATAGTTTTGATTCAACCAGCAAATCTATTTAAACCGTCTACTGTTTTCTACCTGCTGAAATCTGGACCAACAGTGTAAAAAACAAAGAAATTCTGCATTCATTCCCTGAAATAAGATAACTTTTTCTTTTTTATTCAGTTAAAGAAACAGAGATCAACACCTGGATCTGTGATTTTAAAGCAGCATGCTGCTTTCAAAACCTCGTTTTTTGTGTTTTTTATAGAGACGTCCATGTTTCTTTAACAAAATGTAAAATCACATACTGTAACCTCAGACTGACTGCTTTAAGAAGAAACAGCTTTTCAGTCATCCTGCAGTTCTTCCATTAGCTTAATAACAAATGTGGAAGAAACAGCTGGAAGTGGTGATCTGTGGAAAAGTTCTGAACAGTTGATCAGTGTTTGTTTCTTTGTTGACAGTCCTTGATAATAAATCTCACACCATTGAACAGCTTGTTTATTTCCTCTTAAATGGAGCCATAGCAGTTTATTCTGTACTGACTCTGAGAATTAACTGGTGCACTCACACACAGAGTGGGGTTCATCAGAGACCACCTCCAAGGTTTGGTAGAGGATGGACTGACCTGCAATTCAGAACACCTGTGGGATCAGTTTGAGCTGATATTTGTTTCAGAGTCATGAACACAACCACAGTGGCTGAGTTATGACAAATGTTAATGTCATTGTCAAATTTATTTGTATAGCACATTAACAACAAAAGCTTGTAAGAAATACGTGTTTTAATATCAGCTGAAATCTGATGAAAACACAAGTGTTAAATAAGATGATCTGCGATAGGAAATAAATGTCATACAACCCAGAATTCTGGAGCGAATGAGGTTTACTATGCCACCGGCTGACAAATCAAAACCACACTGCCTGAAAAACAGGAAATGGATCCATTTATACACAGAATCTTCAATGCCTGAGTTCGCCTTCTGCTGGCCTATGGCTGAATCACAGGCATTCAGACACAGACTTCACCCTGGTGTTAATACAGCTTTTAATTATTTGTTGTATATAATTCGGACATTTAGCTACCCTATTTAATTAACACATAATATAACAAACATAAAAGTATTATAAAATAAGGAAATGCTAATAATCTGGTGTTGTTTATAAAATCAGTACTAATCTATAATAAGTATAAATTTCTTCAAGCTGACAAAAGTGCTTCACAGTTCAGTCTAGACATCAAAAAACAAACAAATAATAGATACAAATACAGAAACACAATATATGAAAAAGCTCTAACTGAACCTCCAAATCTTAAACATAAGCCAAAGAACATGAATGGGTCTTCAGCAAAGATTTAAAAGCCTCAACAGTCTCTGCTGACCGAATATTAAGAGGTTAACTGTTCCACAGCTTTAGAGCAGCTATTGCAAAGGCCCGGTCACCTCTAGATTTCAGTTTGGATCTTGGGACATCTAACAGGAACTGGTTGGTAGACCCGAGTGCTCTGACTGGGGTGTAGATGTTAAGAAGATCACATAAATATGATGGGGCCAGACCATTAAAAACTTTAAAAGCCATCAATAAAATCTTAAAATCAATTCACAGGTGAACAGGAAGCCAATGGAGAGAAGCCAGGACCGGGGTTATGTGTTCATGCTTCTTAGTACCTGTTAAAAGACGAGCTGCTGCATTCTGGACAGTCTGTAGGCGATGCAGAGGTGATTTTTCTAAGCCAGCATACAAAGAATTACAATAGTCCAAGCGAGTGGTAACAAAAGCATGAATCACCCTTTCAAGGTCTTTAGTGGGGAGATACGATTTCACCTTAGCAATTAGTCTTAATTGGAAAAAACTTGACTTTACAACAGAATTAATCTGTTTTATCCAATTTAAAGGCACCATCAAAGAGAAAACCCAGATTCCTGACAGTAGAATGGCTGTATGAAAATAAAGGGCCAATGTCATCTGAATTTACTTTACCAAAAGTGATTACTTCAGTTTTACTCTCATTTAGATTCAGAAAGTTTAGTTTTAGCCAGGTTAAAGAACGAGTTTGTAACAAAGCTGTTGAGCAGCACCAGGAGGAAGTAAGTTTTTGTGGCTGTGTGTGGTTATTCCACGCGCCGAGGTCGATAAATAATCTTCAAATCATCATTCTGTAGAAAATAATGTCTTGTTCAAAATGGTATGTCCAAATAAACAGGAATCCACTGGGTTTCTCCTTAAAACTTTATTCTCAATCTTCTGACTCCAGTCAGGTTCATACAGCACTCAGCAGGCCTCAGCATAAGACCTTGAGCTAAACCAAAACAAAACACAGGAGCCCTGCTCTGAGCAGAGACTCTGCAACACTAATGAACTGAGCTTATCATGTTCATCTCTTCCCGGTTACACCTCTGGAGGTGTTACATTTTACGTCAGGCATCAGAATGTACGTAACTCTTTTTGTTTAGGCTAAAGAAAGAACACARGATAACACACACCAACTCTTTGTCTGCATTAAACTTACAGGCTGAAATGATCAGAAAGTATAAAATACAAAACTGCATCTAACATTCAATTAATCAGTTACAAAATTTCCTTTAATTCAATAAACATCACTAAATATGAGTACAGAATAATTTGTTTGATGGAGAAGTTTTAACACAAAGTCAGCTCTGCTGCTCAGTCCATATTATAACACAGCTCCATTTAAAGGACAATAAACAGGAAGCGTTCATTACCAAGAAGCAATGTTAGAACAAAAAAATAATCAACCAAACACAAAATGTTCTTACTTAGTGTGAAGTTTAGACAGTTCTTTAATGACCTGACAGAACTGATGAGCCAATGGCTAGTCTAATGACAGATTGTTCACAGCTTTTTTAAAAACAGCCCCTATTTCCAAAAGTTCGTTGCAGTTCACAGAAACACTATAAAGTTTAAAGATGTCAGTGATCTGTATTCAGAGCAGCTATTAGCTTGTCAGTCTGCTCAAGGTTTAACTGATGTGGGTCAAAGATCCATCTACATCAGGAAAGATATAACTTTTACACAGAACACCACTTTGGAAATGTTTGAAATGTTCATTTAAAGTGTGTTTGCAGTAACAATGAGACAAAATAAGAACTGAAACTTTAACTATACTGATAAAAAATGTTGCCAACCTATGTTAGAAATGTGTTCCAAACCTAAAAGTATGATTTTACTTTTTTATTTTTTTGGGTGGTGATGTTGGTTGCAGTACTAGTGATGAATTTTCACTTCTTTAGTTAAGTCATTAACACAGAATATTTGTAATAATAGTCAGATTTTAAAGGTTTATAGTATCCTGGTCATTAGCAGACTTGGTGCTAATCTAACTAATGTCTGGTTATTATTTATTTTTGTTGTAGTTTTTTGGCTGCTCCTGTCTGCAGGAGTCACCACAGCGATCAAACTGAAGTTTTGGCCACAGTTTCACACTGAGTACTCCTGACAAAACCTGGGCMCAAACCTGAGACCTCAGGATCATGAGACGGCAGCACTGACTGCTGAGCTACAGCGACCGCTAACCTGAGTCTGACTGTAGCTTCATATGGACCTGCAGAACTAACACCCAGCTGTTATCACTGGCTTWATGTGTCAAACTGTTGATTGTGATCTTCTACAGAACAGGATTTATATTACCACTGACCATCATGCAGCTGTTTTTATCTCCTGACTATCTTTGCTGCTAAAACAGGAACGTGTTTGTAAAAGTTTAAAGAAACAGATGTCATGAGTTTATTCATTTAACCTGAGCTGTTGTACTGTATGTGAGAAAGGAAAATAAATGTTTCCTGAGCTTCAGTTCTTTTCTGTTAGAGTTCAGATTCTTCCTGTGGAAGACGTGAACAGGTTGGACTGTTTAAAGGAGAGTTCAGCTCTTTTGCAATGAGGATTCTGTGGAAAAGTCATGAGCAAATATCTTATCTTTTTGTAGGGAAGTCTTTGGACAGCTTCAGTTCAGAAAAAAAATTCCTATTTTTACAATTTCATATTTACAGTTTCATCTCTGTCATTGAGAGCCTAAATGTGTGCAGCAGCACTTAGCTGTAGCACTTACAGTGATGGTCCTTTCCAGGAGGAAAATTACAATATTTCTGCCAAAATAACTGTAGAATGGAAAATTGACAGCAGTGTAAAGGATTATAGTAGAGGTTTGCATGAATTATTATGAAATCTCTGAGAGTGAAGTTGTTTGAAGATGAAAATAATTAATTTAGTTTTGCTCATCTAGTCAGCCCTGTTTGAATCCAGCTACTTCTCCACCTAAGGTTCAATTTTCAGTTTTATTTATTTATTTCAGTCTTTTTTAACCTTGAACCATTTACAAGACAACACAGAAAAATAATACACAATCTTTGAATTCCTATCAGTGGTATAAACTGAAGAAAGTGTAGGGTCAGTGTATCTTTTGGTCATTGGATTTTCGTTTTCAAAATGGGTATTAAATAACAAGNACATGTTCGTACGAACCCTTTGTACGAACAAAAGTAGGAGAAATTTAGGATAAGAATACGAACATGTTCTTGCATGAGGCCCATTGAGCTAAGTAATAAAATGTTAGTGGAAAGTTTTTAACACTCAAAAAGTGAGCTAAATAATACAAAATGTGTCAGTAAAATATTTCAACATTTCATTTTTCACTTGCATGTTCTCTCCGTGCATGCGTGGGTTCTCTCCAGGTACTCCGGCTTCCTCCCACAGACCAAAAACATGACTGTTAGGTTAATTGATAACTCTAAATTGTCCCTAGATGTGAGTGAGAGAGTGAATGGTTGTCTGCTCTGTTTGTCTCTCTGTGTCCCTGTGATGGACTTGTGACCTGTCCAGGGTGTACCCCACCCCTCACACTGTGACTGCTGGATGTGGGCACCAGTGACCCCCGTGAGGGGTGGGGTACACCCTGTGATGGACTTGTGACCTGTCCAGGGTGTACCCCACCCCTCACACTGCGACTGCTGGATGTGAGCACCAGTGACCCCCGTGACCCTGAAAGGAATAAACGGGTAAATAAAATGGATGGATGGATGGATTTTTCACTTGGCGCCACATACCTGGCTGTGCAGTTTCACACATCTCATATCACCTTTAAACTTTCTTTTTGATGTTCAAGTGAAAAAGTGAACCGTGTAAACACCCGCACTGTCTACATGGTGAAGCTGATCTGTCTTTCATTCATTCTAGGTCATTATGAGAAACCTCTGAAACAGAAATCCCTGTAAAGATTATTTTCTAACAACTTCTACTTTTGTCATCCTAAATAAAGAAAAGTCACCCTAATAATTGTAGGGGTCACCTCGAGTGAAATTATCAAGGAAACGGTCTTGGACTTTCAGTCCACTGATGGGCCTTCGAAGGGACAAAAACTCTGTTCCACTTAAAACTGAATCTAGGCCACCTCAGGTTGCCTTAACCTTTCAAAGAGACATTCTCTTCTTTCTAAATCAGATAATAAACAGAAGAATCTTCATCTTATTTGATTTAT